TTTTTTAGTTCTTTTTCATTATATATGTAATCTTTACATCCATATATTTAATATTACGCAAAATATCTTCTTTGTTTAATCTTGTACTAACTCTTATCATAACCATTATGTCGACACACAACATATTATACTTTATGCGACACACGCATCTACACTTATGCGACACACGCATTTATACTTATGCGACACATGCATTTATACCTATGCGACACACGCATTTATACTTATTTAACGGTGTTTCTTCTTATTTATTATCTTTTACAATTCAATAACCTATACTCGGCTTGCCTTTACCTTCACAATGAAGTATAGTAGTTTCGAGGTTTGCTATTCATCTTATCCCATAATACTTATCTTCTTTTCATGAGTTCAGTTGCGCATTTCCCTCAATGCTTTCAGTTTTATCTGAAGAAGTTATACTCACGATGGTTTCTCTTTTTGCCTTGTGAATTCAATTACGCATTTTCAAAATGCTTTCAGTAGGGAGATGTTTCACTCACGTCTGAGTCCAATTATTTCAATTCCCATCTGAAGAAGTTATATTCACAGCCGGTGTTTTTGTAATAGGTTCCCACGTAACCCTTGTGTTTTAAATAGGTTCCCACGCAACCCTTGTGTTTTGGTAACAGGTTCCCACGTAACCCTTGAGTTTATAGCTTACTCGTCAACTTTTCGTTACAACATTGTATCCCCAGGAACTTCTGGCATCTGCAAAATACAATGGTGCCCCTCCCAGAATACCACATCTTACGAGGGCTTCCTTAATTTCTCGGTTTTACAATTATTAGCGAGAAAACATCAAAGAAAACAACTTATGTGACTTACTACAATACTTTCAGGATTTTCCTGTAATAAATCTATTATTTTGAAACGAGTTCATTATATTCCATCATATCACCGCATCCTTCTTTTTATAATTCCTAAGGTAGGTGTACAATATCGCTATTTTGCCCGTTCCCATTTTAAAGTTTTTCAGGTACTTACAACCTTTTTCCCAAATATTATATTTTAATTCTAACACCTCTTTTTCTGAGTTCAGATTCTTCGGAATACCACGTCGGTACCATGATCGGAACGATCCTTCCCTTTGCGAGTGATCAATTCACTTAGTTGTTAACCGTTTCCTTCTTAATACCGCATAGGTACTTGACTATAAGAAGATAGTCAAAATGTCAACGCAAAGTCAACATTTCCTTTCTCAGAGCATGCACCAAATTGTCACCCCCGTCTGCCACCCAGCGGTAAACAAGCTTCCCTGCTTTAATGTATATTCGTTCTCCACGAATACATTAATATTCTTGCTTGGTTTAGTTTTATTACTACTTAACTTTCAAATTGCGATAGCTCTCGCCACGATATTTCATCCATTATCTTCTTTCAAAAATACGATAGTTCTCTTTACAAAAGTTTATATTTTATTCATTTCATAATTCTAGTTATGACATTAAATTCACCATGAATTTGTCCAATTAAAATTAATTAAGCGAACATTACAGTAAAGTTTAGGGCGAACCTATTACCTTTAAAATAACATTACGCTTTACTAACAATTAATTAAACAAAATTACTTTTTCATCATAAGAAAATAGCAACAAAAACAATCGAAACAATTAATTTTCATATAAAGGGTATTTTATTTATTCTTCATAAAATTCACAATTAACTAATTTACTTAAAGTTTTACATCGTATCTGAC